GACCACCCTTCTGCTACTGAATCGAGTCTCTTAGAGAGGTAGGCTATAAGCCTCTTCCAAGGGCCAATGTCTTGAGTCAAGACTCTTTTTACAATGCCTATGAGCTCATCTATGAACAAGGTAAATGGCTTGGTAACATTAGGGAGTCCCAGGGCTGGAGCCTTGGTTAGGCCTATTTGAGCTATTAGAAGTCCTGCTCGCAGTCATTGGTCCAGTCTAATGGCTTTTGGGTCTCTCCCTTAAGAGAGTCATACATCAGGTGAGCCATTTCGATGAAATTTAGAATCCACAGCCTACAGTACCTGACAGCTCCCAGAAACTTGTGTACTTTTTTCGTAGTTTCTGGGGTTGGTATCTGTAATATGGCTTGGACTCTTTCTCTAGACAAAGTTCTTTTGCCTTCTTGTAACTTGTGGTCCAGGTAAATCACAGACTGGTGGCACAACTGGGCCGTCTTAGCTGAGACTTTATAGCCTAATTGCCCCAAAGTCTTTAACAGTTCCTCGCTTGCCTCTCAACAAGTCTCTAATGAAGAGGAGGCTACCAACAACTCATCCACATACAGAGCATTATCTTAGGTGTTTTTCCCTAAATCTCAAAATATCTCTGGCTAGTGCCTCATCGAAAAGGGTGGGTGAGTTCTTAAACCCCTTAGGTAAGAGAGTCCAGGTCAGCTGTTCCTTCACTTCTTAATCTGGGTTGTTCCACTCAAAGGCAAAAAAGGAGTTAACTCACCATGCAAGGGGCAGAGTGAAGAACACACCCTTGAGGTCCAAAACAGAGTACCAGGTGTTCTCCAGATTCAGGAGGCTAAGAAGTGTATAAAGGTTAGGCACCATTGTGTACAGAGTCAATACTCATCTATTAACCTCTCAGAGATCCTGTACAGGACCATAGTCATTTGTCCCTGGCTTCTGTACTGGAAGTAGAGGTGTATTCCATGAAGAGACACAGGAATTAAGATACCATTGTCTCTTAATCTCTAAATGTGGACTTTGATTTATTTTCAGGCTTTGATCCCTTTGTTGGCTGATCAGGTATTGCAAATAAGGCATCCCTAGTGTAGGAGCTCCACCACAAGGGGCAGCTGGTTAATTGCTAGCACTGGGGGGTTGGCTACTGCCCAAACTTCTGGGATTTCCTGCTTCCATTTGTTAACAACTTTAATTCTAAGTCAGTTTTTAATGGCTCAGGTACACCCGACAAATTTCCCAGTAGGTGGTAATTTTCTCCATCTGGGACAAGTGCTAGCACTCTGCTGCCTTCAGAGTCCAGAAGTATATCCACCCCCAATTTTAGTCTTGGCTCATGTGTAAAGAAGTCAATATGCCCCTGCAATTTATGGAGGAGGTCTCATCCCATGAGAGGGTCTGGACACTCAGGAACCCATAGAAAATCATGTTGGACCAGTTTATGTCCAGGTCAAGCCAAACTAGCTGTCACTTTTGGGTATGATTTTCATCCCCCTGTGGCTCTGATTACATTGACTGAACTCTTGGTTATCTTTCTTGAGCTTAGGTCTGCACAGAATAGGGGGCTCCTGTATTGACCAGGAAGTCCACCAGTTGCCCTCCCACTTGAAGAGTTATCCAGGGCTCGGGGGTGGTGGTGATCCCTGACCTCCTCATTGTTGAGACAACAGGGCCTTTGCCTCTTTTTCTAGCTTGGCCTTTAACTTTGGGCCATCTTCATGCCAATGTCCCATCTCTTTGCAATATGTGCATTGTTCTTTATCTAAAGGAGGCCGCTGGTCTTTAACCTCCTTTTTCCCAATGCTAGTCAATCTTTTAGCTTTTTTCTCACCAAGCAATTACAATACTTTAGTCATCTTTTTACTTGTGGCTTCTTGTGGAGTCTCCCTGTTGTTGAAAACCTTCTGTGCTATCTCTATCAGCTGGCTGAGGGGCATCCCTGCAAATTCCTCAAGTTTCTGTAACTTTTTCCTAACATGGGGGGCCGACTGAGACATGAAAGCAATGTTAATCACTTGAGTGTTTTCAGGTGCCATCGGATTAATTGGAGTATGTAACATATAGGCCTCTAGGAGGCACTCCAAGAACATAGCAGGAGATTCATCGGCTAACTGTCTTACCTCACTCAAGACAGATTGGTAGACTTGTTAGCAGTGGCACAAAGTGCATCTAGGAGCCTCAGGCAATAATCATCAAGAGCCTTCTTACCTCCGTCCATGTTGGGGTCCCATTCAGGTCAAGAGGAAGGGAACAGGTGTTCAAGTCTCTGCTGATCAGCAGATGGCGATCCATCTGGATCCCAAACTCCCTTTTGTCCTAGAGTGTAGATACACATTCTTTCCTAGGCCATGAAAAGAATGCGCAGGATCTGCTAACAGTTGTCCCAAGTGGGGCAATGGATAGAGAAAACAGATTCTATAAGGTTAATCAGAGTTTCTGAGTCCTTTGAGAAAGGGGGTTTTGAGCTTTCCAGTTATAGAGGTAAGAGAAAGAAAAGGGGGTATACACAAACATGGAGCCCCCTCTCGGGGTTGGGGACTTCCCACAAAGTGTACAGCGGTGCCACTTCGGGAACATGTTCTGGAGGTCCCTCCGGCCATGGGTGGTGGTGGGTTTGGATAAGACTCTGAGGGGAGGAGTGGTGGAGTCAGGGTGGGGACCAAGGGTAGGGTATGGGGGAGGGGCAAGGGAAAAATGTCTAGTGGATCAGAAGAGTCTTCACTTGGAGGCAAGACTGGAGGTGCATTGGGTCCAGGTGCCACATCTTTGGCCTTTGTCTTCAGTTTGAGGGCTGCTAGAACTCCATTCTGAGAGGGCTTAATCCATGAGAGGGCATCATAGATTATATCTATCCAAATCTGAATATAGACAATTTGGTCAGGATGAGCAGAGGGCCCAAACACATACTGGTGAACAGTCTGCACAGTTCCCAGGTCAAAAGATCCAGAAAGGGACCAGACCCCTTGAGTCCTCAGCAGCCACTCCTGTGTGACAAAAGTTATTAATCTGACCTTATGAACCTTTTCCCCATATCCCTCAGCTTGTCATTTAAATTATTTGAAGTGATCAAGCACAAGGCCGAAGGGAGCACTGGAAAAAGACTTGGTCTGACCCATGGCTGGCAATGCCACTGGTTTACTTTTCCTGTCAGAAAATTTAAGAGACAAAAACAGGGTCAGAAGGAAAAGACCAATTACTAATGAGACGAAGAGAATGGTAAAAATTGCTCTGGCTGGCTTTGGGCTTGCAGAAGTGGTTACTAGGAGAAAACGTTCTGTCAGAGTCAGGTGACCAAAAGGACAACAATTAGACCACATAGACACAAAGACAAACATAAAAGACATGACATGCTGCAGCAAAAAAAATGGACCTTGCTCAAAAAGTCAATCAATTCTGGATTTCTGGAGGAGTTTACCAAACTATCCAATGGTGCAGTTTGCTACCTGAGGCAGAGTCACAAACGGATGGATTGTGTTCCAAAAGCCAAATGACTATGGACTCAGGAGATCCCCACACCCCAAGTTGAGGGTGTCCCCTCCAAAAGTACAAAAGTACAAAGTGACCGTGGCCCAAACAAACCCTCCAGAGTACTTACTTTCAAATGTTCAGAATTGAGTCTGGGTTCTTGCTCCCATCCCAGACAAGCCCTCAAATGGTATAGCTTGGACCCCAGAATAAAATCCAAGGAAGCAAGAAATTAAAATTTGGGGAGCAATGGCTTTACTTCCAGGCCTGGGGGCACAGTCTCCTTAAGATCCACCCAAAGACCACACTCCTCACAGTTGCAGGAAGAGGCTTTCACAGCTGAAAACCACAGGAATGTTATAATTGCTGACACAGATAGCATCTGGGCTTTACAGAACATTCTGAAATTTCCTTGAAGTTAAGCATTTTCTAAAGAACAACACATTTTATTATAGACCACTGGGTAGGGAAGGAGGTTACAAGAAACTGAAGCCTAAGGCTTTTACGGCCTTTCAGGAAATTAAAACTTAACCTAGATATATGGGAAGGTGTCCGGAGCTGCTTCCGTCCCGCGGAATGGAGCACACGAACACTTAGCCTCTGCAAGCACCTTTATTGACTGGGCAGCAACCTCAATACATCTCCGTCCTCGACGGCTTCTTCCGTGTTGTGCGTCGGGCACTTCCTATACTTGGGCTTATATAGCTAATGTTATCCAATCATGGGATTACACGTGGGGACAGGCGATTGGGCGGCAACAAGGAAGCAATCAATCATTACCATATATGGCGGGGACAGTAAGCCGAGCAAGAACCAGGAAGCAGGATGTGTGTGCCATCTTGGGCACACGATGGGCGGGGGACCAGCAGAGGCGGCAGGCGGGTGCCATCTTATGAATATGCTCTCATGAATAACATGGCAGGCTCCCAACATCTCCCCCTTTCTTATTTACAAGCAAATGACAGAGAAACCTTCCAAGTGACTACAGAGGTCTGTACCCCGCTGTGCATGGCTCTGAGGTCATCCCCCGGCACAGGTTGGCCACCCCCGCGTCAGAAGAGACCTCCAAGCCTCATCCTTTTGCGCAGGGCTAGGATAATTTGGATGAAACCTAGATGCATACAGACATATAGCCTGACATCTCTCTTCAAAAACCCCAAGAGTAGAATGTCATGCAGTACCATCTGGTCTCGCACCTTGGTGCCTCTTGCTGTCATTGTGTGGAATGGGGCCTGTCTTAGGTTGAGCAAGGTGGGGTACCTCAGTCTTACCCGTCTTTGGCTCACCCATCCAGCACTTTATAACTGATGTTCTGCAACATGAAGGAGATATGCAGCTGCCCGACCACCAGATGGGCCAGCCTCTGCCAGCTGCATAGCCGCCATGGCTGTAAATCTGACTTGTTGTTGAGTCTGCATCAAGCGATCAAGCAAGCATTTGACGACCACCAACCCCACCAGTATGGCAACAACAATCAGAATCCAAGTAGTCAAATTGGGCCAAGAGAACCAGGAAGTGACATGGTCCCACAAACCTTTTAGGACGTCCCTCAGGGTAGACAAATCAAACCTAACTGGGTTTAATTGAACCTTTTCTATCTCGTTTAACTCGTGATTAACAATCACAGACAGATTATGAAATTTTGGCAGATAAGTGTCCTGTAACCACGCGGTCATAGTTTTGTGGTTTCAGTCAAGTTGGTGCGAACGGGAGTGACACACACCCGGAAGGACAGCCACCTCTGGTCGCAAAGTTGAGTGGCGACCTGCCACAGGGCATCGATCTCTTGTCCGATGAGTTGGATTTCTTCTTGTAGCCGGAGTATTGCTTGGCTGTTTAGCTCTATCTGTTGCCTTTGAGCCTTGATGGTCTCTCGTGTCGCGTTGCTCAGCCGATTGACTGCATCCATGGTCAGCGCGAGCTGCTCGGAGGTCCATGCCTGCAAAATAGCCTGTCCCACTGCAGGGACAAACAGAGAAGAGACCACCCCCGCTGCCTGCCACAACCAATCTTTTATCCCTCCTTTTGTTCTGGTTGGCAATGAGGAGAGTGTCCTGGGCTTGCACGGGAACCCAAAGATCAGGGAGAGAACAGCATAGGCTGCTCTTTTTTTTTTTTTGTCTCTTTCACTTTTATTGGTACCAGGGATCGAACTCACAACCACACACTTGCAAGGCAAGTGCTTAAGCCACTGAGCTAAATCCCCAGCCCCTTCCTGTCCCTCTTAGTGACGGCGGGTACAGGAGAGGTATTTCCTTGCAATTTGATGCCCAAGCCTTTGCCAGGGGTATAGCCCATCCGTTTCATCATGTTTTGAGCCACCTCGGAACATCCTGTATTGGCCACACTCAAAACATTTTTTACTCTTTTGCATCTGCTGTTGTGTTGCTGGAGGGTGGGAGCCGAGGGCCGCATTAATTGAAGCGCCCACCAGGGCTGCAAGACCGGAATTAGAGAGTGGTCCCCCCACTTCTCTACATAATTTGGTCCAGGTTTCTAAACTCTTGTTTTTGTGCGGTGTAATCACTGCACGGCAATCCTTGGTACACTGTTCAAAGACTAGCTGTTTTACCAGGGGCTGGGATACACTAGGGTCTGGAAAGACCTTGCCGGCGGCATCTAACATCCTGGCCACAAAATCAGAAAATGGCTCTGTCATTCCCTGCACAATTTTAGTAAGACAGGCGGTATGTTCGCCAGGCTTGGCAAGCTGTTTCCAAGCGGCAATAGCGCACTTGATAATTTGATCATAAACTGCCTGAGGGTGCCGGATTTGATCTTGCGCATGGGCTCCCTGGCCTAATAACATATCTTTGTTCCACCTGACATTGCGCTCTTTAGCGTTTTTCTCAGCCTGCTCTCCGAAATACTCATCATTCCATGCCTTCCAGTCCATAAATTGGCCTGGGGACAAACATGCCTTTGCAAGCTGTGCCCAATCCGAGGGTGTCAAAGGGGTGGTTCCTATATTATCCAAAGAGCCTGTGTGAACGGAGCGTTGGGGCCATAGGTAGAAACTGCCTCTTTTAATCCCTTAACCACTTTCATGTCCAGGGGCTGATAATAAGGCGCGCCGACCTGGTCCTAGAGGACCGGGTAGAAGCTGGGAGCGTCATACGAGGCAAGGCCCCTACGCAAGACGTCCCATAAACGGCCATGAAATGAGCGGTGCCCGGAGAACGGAAGTGTGGCAGGGAAGGGAGGAGGCGGCCCCCAACCACCAGGGGCATTCATTCCCTGGGGTGGTTCCCAGGGAGGGGCTGACGGGACTAACCCCGCCTCGCCGGGGGTGCGCATTTCCTGCAGATCACTCTCCACCCTCTCGAGCTCCTCCCCTAGGCTCTCCATCATCCCTTCACACAAGGCTCCAGCAGGTTTATGAACTTTCTGCCCTGTATTGCGATGTGGGCCTATCTTCCTGTCAGTTTCCTCCTTTGGGCCCACCTTAGGGTCTTCCCCCTCTGAATCTGAATGGCTCGGTGAGCCAACCTCTGAGGCCTCCCTGGAGCTCTCTGAGCGCGCCTGCTCGAAAGCGTTGCGTGCCTCTTTGAGTCCCTGGGCTGTGCCTACCATACTTTCAGTTCTGAGACATGCACGAACCATCTCCCAAATGGGGCGAACCATGGGGTCGACACCCGTGCCTTGCTCTTCTGCAAATTGAATGTCTCGTCCTAATTTCTCCCAGGAGGGCAAGGTGAGGGAGCCGGTGGGCAGAAACCATGGGGCCAAACCATCGATACATTCGAAAAACTGCAGCACCGTTTGCTTATCTATCCTAATCCCTCGCGTCTTAAGCAACAACCACAGTGATAAGGCGAGGGGGCCGCAGTTAACATTGCCCATCTTAACAAAATTAAAGAGCCCCGAGGTGCAATAGCCAACGGAGGCCTGCCCTTCTTTTTCGGGCAATGTCGATCCCCGCAAAGGGTCGACCAGTAAATCCCTTAAAGTGCGTCCACCAAGGGCCGGGTTGAGCCTCCACTCACCCGCAGGTACGTACCGTCTCTCAACGCAGTCACAGGAGTCGCAGAAGGCACGGGAATGGTTTCAAGTCCCCGTACGGGCCACCAGATGTCCGGAGCCGCTTCCGTCCCACGGAATGGAGCACACGAACACTTAGCCTCTGCAAGCACCTTTATTGACTGGGCAGCAACCTCAATACATGTCCGTCCTCAACGGCTTCTTCCGTGTTGTGCGTCGGGCACTTCCTATACTTGGGCTTATATAGCTAATGTTATCCAATCATGGGATTACACGTGGGGACAGGCGATTGGGCGGCAACAAGGAAGCAATCAATCATTACCATATATGGCGGGGACAGTAAGCCGAGCAAGAACCAGGAAGCAGGATGTGTGTGCCATCTTGGGCACACGATGGGCGGGGGAGCAGCGGAGGCGGCAGGCGGGTGCCATCTTATGAATATGCTCTCATGAATAACATGGCAGGCTCCCAACAGGAAGGGGGAAGGGGGAAAGGGAAAAGGAGAGGAAGTGCGGTGCAAACAGAAGAGAAATACGGTACAATGGTTAGAGCTAGGCTATAACAAACAATAGCTTGAAATGTACTACAGTTACCATCACCTTCCCCAGGAAGTCCAGGTAGGCATCTGTTACCATACTCAATGACCAGAACAACTGGACTTTGTTCCCACAAAATACCTTGGTTCTTTCTGCATACCTTTTCTGGGTGACTTGCTACCCTTCTGAATAATATTAGTTAAGCACCTATAAGCTTATAGGTTGATTGTAGTTTGAGACCCACACTGCACTCATATTCTGACTTTGCTGTATAAATCACCCCTGACAATAGATCTGTTGCCTAAACACTGAAGACCACTCCTGCAAAGGCAGGGCTATTCTGTCTTTTTTTCTAAGAAAACTTTTTGAACTTCTTTTGATTTGTGACTTCATTCTTCAATGTTGTGAGCCAACCAACTTGCTGCATTTGCCATCAAATAGGGTAGGATTATATTTCTCCTATTTCAACTTGAATATGAAACATCTGCTAAAGGCCATGATCCAAAGCCTTGATTTCAAGCTGCTTGTTTGCTCTGAGTTTGACATTTCCATGAGTTTTGGACTTCCTGTCTAGTAAATTGCAGATGTATTGGAGGAAGCAGCTCACTATCGTGATGTAGCACAAAAGGTCACATTTATAACTGTATTTTTCACTGCCTCCTGGGTGCCACTTCATGATCAGCTTTCCTCTGTGATATCATTCCATAATTCCCATTTTAGTTAAGTCAACTTTCATTCAGCTCTACTATTTTTGTTTTCTTTTAATAGTCTTTCTCTGCTCCTTGGTTTTTTTATATTTTTCATTTTTGTTTTTAAACACATAGTCCCACATTTAGTTTTGGCTGACCTAGCACTCACTATGTACAGTAGTCTGTGTTGAATACATGACCTTTCTCCTGTTTCAGCCTCTTAAATGCTGGATAAAGAGGTGGGTATCATAACACATGGTGTGTCTTTTTCTTCCCTCCTTTTCATTATTATTCTTTCCTTAAGGTGACATTGTATTTAATTCAGGTGCTTGCTTGTGTCAGTAAACCTTTTTGGAGTTTGAGATCCCATTTGTGAACAACAATATAGGAATCCAAGCAGTCAAAGAATAAATTTGGAATTTAAATAGCTGCGCTCAGAAACACTTCTATACAAACTCACCTCCCCCATTTCAAAATCACAACAAGTGGTCCTGGACTGGAAAGTTAAGAGTTTAAAAAGAGAGAGTCACAAAGAAGATTCTATTGGAAATAATGTATGTTAATTTTTGGCTGACACCTGTATCCTGTTTTTTTTTTTGTTGTTGTTGTTGTTGTTGTTGTTGTTGTTGTTGAGCAGGTTAAATTTTTTTCTTTGGCTACAGGTAATTTTGCTTTTCTCATTGGACTTATACACTGAGGGATTTTCCATTTTCCTGGGTCAAATACAAGGCACTAGTTAAATGTAGGGCTCAAGATGGCATGATTTATGCCAAGCTACAACATAGCAAGGATATAGTGCCAAGCCTTAATATTTTCTAGGTAAAAACACACATAATATTTGACTATTCCAGTATTTGTGATGTTCAGCATTATAATAAAGCCTGATCTAGATTCATGAAAGTCTAACGTCAGCAAGACTCTCATTATTTTCCACTGGTCTTTTTCCTCCTCTTCCATAAATACTCTCTGAGTTCATAATATTGGTACTCAAATTTGACACATATTCCTAGCTATGATGTCTCCCATTTTTGCAGTAGTGTAGTATGTTATCCCCAGCCCATTAAAGATAGAAACACATCTTCTGATTCCGTACACTCCAGTGGTATTATGTGTTAATTTGGACACTTTTCCTTTAAGGAAATGACAATTAATGAGTACATGTGTATCTCATGACTGTTTCCTCATCTTTCAAATAACACCAGGAATTTTTTCAGGTGTTAGGTTCACACCTGTAATCCCAGGACTTGGAACGCTGAGGTAGGATTATCACTGTGAATTTACTGGACTAAGGTGTGAGTCCACAGTCAGCCTGAACTGCATAGGGAAACCCTGTTTCAAACAAATAGGAAAAAATATCTATTATTTTTGATATCCTTGAGAAGAAAAACTCCATAGTTTGAAACTCTTAGGATCATACCTTTTAGGATACATCAGGTGAGTATAAAAACAAGACTACTTTTAAGGATATGGAAAACTAAAAAAAAAATCATACTGTGAACTCTTACACAGATTTAATGCAATGCCCATCCAAATACTATTAGTTTAGTTCACAAATATAAAGAAAATTTTTCTAAAATTTATTTGGAAACAGCGAAGATCTACAACACTAAACACATTTCTGGGCAACAAAGGCAAGTCAGGAGGCATCACAATTCTTCACTTGCTATAATACTAGAAAGCTACTATCACAAAATCACCAATGTACTGGCAGAAAAACATACCTGATAATCTATCAAAAAGAGATAAAAGATGGAGACACAACTACAAACACAGTCTGCTACCTTGTCTTTGATAAAGGAGCCAAATAGTTTCACTGGAAGAGAGATAGCCTCTTCAATAATGCTGAAGCAAATGACTTTCCCCATACTGAAGACTTAAACTGGGTCCATGCCTATCACCATGAAATAGACAGAAGTCAAACTAGCTTGGAGATCTAAATATTACAACAGAAACATTAATGAGGCTTCATGAACAAAACACAAATTTTGAAGAATCAACTTCAAAGAATCAACCACTTGGACCCCATTTTATTAAATAATATTTGTACATCAAAAGAAATCATGAACAGTGAAAAAACAAAGCACAGTTTGGGCAAAGGATATCTTTCCATTTTCTGATAATTTCTTCAGTATCCTTTTACTAAGTACTGTATTTTCAATATATAAGTCCTTGACATTCTTTGCTAGGTTCATTACAAGTATTTCGTTTTCTTGGAGGCTATTGTAAAGGGAGTGGTTTCTGTAACTTCTCTCTTAGTGAGTTGATTTTGTACAGGAATGTTCTTGATTTTTGATTGTCAACTTTGTCTTCAGCTACATTATTGAATTTGTGTAAGTCTAGAAGTCTTTTGGTGGAGTAATTGACATCTTCTACATAGAATAGCACGTCATCTGTGAATAATGATAGTTTATCTACTTTCTGTTATGTGACCATTCTTATTTGTCTCTTATGTCTAATTGTTCTGCCTAATGTTTCCAGAGCTATATTGAATAGGAGTGGTGATAGGAATCATTCTTTTGTTGTTCTTAATTGTAGTGTGAAAGTTTTTAGTTTTTCACCATTTAGTATGATGCTGTATATATTTTTGTCTTTGCTTGTTTTATCAGATTCAGGTAAAGGCTCTCTATTGTTACATACTGCAGGACGTTATTACCAATCAGTGCTTGATTTTATGAAAAGCTTATTGTGCATTTATTGAGATGATCACCATGTGACTTTTGTTTTTGCCTCTGCTGATAGGACATTTAAATTTATTGATTTGCATGTACTGAAACATCCCTGCCTTCCTGGGATGAATCCAAGTTGATCAGGTTTTAAAATCTTCTTGATGATTTGCTACATTCACTTTGCTAGTATCTTATTAAAGATTTTTTGTATCTATGTTCATTAGGAAAACTTGCCTATAGTTTTCTTTTTCTGATTGTGTCTTTCTGTGGTATTAGTATCAGTGTAATGCTGGCCTCCAGGAAAGAGATAGGGAGAACCGCTTCTCTTTCAATTTCATTAAAGAGTAGGGGCCTTCAATTTTCTATGCATTTCTTTTAAAATTCAGCAGTAAATCCATGAAGACCTACACTTCTACATGTTGATCAGTTGCTTTTTTGTTGTCATTGTTTTGCTTCATTTTAATGTGTTTTGCAGAGAGTCTTATTATGCACTGGAGTGGCTTTGAGCTCACATTTTAGCCCTGTTTAGTTTCAAACTCACAACAATGCTTTTACCTCAGCCTCCCAAGTTCTGGGGATAAAGGCATGCACCACCCGGCCAGTACCCAAGAAAACTTAATTAGATCTTCAGTCTCATTAACAGGTACTGCATTATGTAGAATTTTTATATCTTCTTGAGTCAGCTTTGTCAATTCATATGTATCTAGGAATTGATTCATTGCTATATTATCCAACCTAGGGAAGCATAAGTTTTGAAGTAGATACTGATGATCTTCTTAATTTTCACACGATCTGTAGGTATCTTACTGTTTTCATTCCTCAATGAATGGTTTTGAATGGTTCTTTTCTCTTTTTGATATGGTTGGCTAAGGGCTTATCAAATTGTTTATTCTTTCCATGAACCAACTCTTTGATTCATTAAATCTTTTTATTGTTTTATGTTCTGCACTGCATTACTTTCCTCTCTGATCATTGTAGTTTCCTCCCTTTTATTGGCTGTGGGTTTGTCATGCTATTTTTTTCAGAAAATGTGAGGTAAAACAGTAGATCTTTATTTGTGCTTTATTCCCTGAAGTGAAATTTGAGTACTATTAATTTCCCACTTTGAACTGCTTTCATTGAATCCCATGAGAACCAAGGTTTGCATCTGTATTCCTGTTGTGTTGTAGATATTTTCAAGTTTCTTCC